TAAAGATCAAAGCTTTAGCCTAAACATGTTACTAGAAACCAACATGATATTAGGAATATCAATTAACACCCTAAACATGATACTAGGAATCAAAATTAACATCCTAACATGATACTAGGAATCAAAAGACATCCTAACATGATACTAGGAATTAAAATCGAGGAATAAGGATAGTAGATCCACTCACTTTGTTGCCTCGTATCTCTTTCTATCAAAACAATACACACAGTAGTAACTTCAAGAAAGATTAAATCAAACGAACCAAATAAATCAAATAAGAATTAAAATATAGATTAGGGACCAAACCCTCAGAACTATCAACCTTTCACGTCGAGGTCGAAGGCAACTTCGAGAAGGCCTTGATGTATTCAAGGCTCGTGAAGGAGGTATGGTGTATGATATCAAGAAGGTGTGGGGATGTGTTTAGGCCAAGGCTAGGAAAGAAAGAGAGAGAGAGAGAAAAGCTTATAGCTTAGAGAGGGGAAAGAGATGATGATTATTGGTGATCAAGCTTATTGATGATTGAAAACGGGGTGATACAACCTCTATTTATAGGGAAAAACGAGGGTTGAAAGATAAAAAAAAGAGTCAGAATCCGACTCAGAGTAAAACTGGCGCTATCGCGACTCGATATTTTTATCGCTCAGCGATATTTCTATCGCTCCGCGATATTCCTATCGCTCAGCGTTATTTTCAGAAGATAGAATTCGTACGGAATCCGACTTCCAATCAAATTGGGTTAATCGAATTTCAGTTCGTATTCTAATTTTATCAGAAATTAAAATCATTGGAAAACAAGTGTTTTATCCGAAGTAAAATTCTTAAATCATTATCTTTTCAAAAACAGGATAAACTAGAACCTTGTAGAAGATTCTAGAAGCTAATAATAAATCCTAAGGGATTTAGGATTGATGTTTAAGGTTAATGGACCCTCCACATGGTCGCTGGGTCTCAGGTAAAGCTCAGTTTGGGCTTGGTTTAGTATTTTGGTCATAACTTTTTCGTTATAAGTCGGATTTTGTCTTATAATATATCGTTGGAAAGCTCTCATTTCAAGCCCCATCCAACTACACAATTATTGGACCAGAATTATGGACCAAAATAATTAGGTTTGGACTTTTTTATAAAAAGAACACGAAATGAATGATTTTAAGTGACACGAAATGAATGATTTTAAGTGACACGAAATGATTGATTCTCAAAGACACGAACTGAATGATTTAGGGTTAAAACATTTAAGGAAAGTTATAAATGATTAAGGCTAAAGGAAATTCACGAGACTCTTCAACTCTTCACCTAAGTAGATAATCAAAGACGTGAAAGGTACTCATCACTGGGTTTGGTTTATAAGGAGACACAATCAGCTGTCTACAATACCAAATTACTTTACTTGTGTTGGAATATTCGTATATAAAAAATTTCCCCTATAAATTTCTATATATGTTCAGTTTTTAGTAATCAACATTGTTTAGTGAAATATGAATTATTTTGAATTTTTAAAAAGTATAAAGGTCCTAATATTGCTTTTTAGTGTGGATGATACATACTGATATATATACATATATATATATATATATATATATATATATATATATATATATATATATATATATATATATATATATATATACATTCATTTCTTAGTGAATAAAAACCAAATTTCATTTTCTAGTCTTATATTATGGTACGAAGAAAACATACTTATATATTTATATATTTCCTCCATTTCATATTAGATGACACGTTTCATCTAGTCAAGTTTGCCAATGCATACTTTCTAATGCAGATTTGCTTGATTACATATTAGCAAAAGTTATAAACATTTGATATTTAAAAAATAGATGATGAGACGAATCTAACAAGACCCCACATGACTATACTTTTTCTCAAAACGAAATCACAAAACGAAGGCAAAGCAAGTTATGTGAATAGTGCATAAAGTCAAACTATGTAATCTAATTTGGAACGGAGCCGAGGAAGTATAATTTTGTTATAATAAAAAAAATAAACATAATTTTATATTGACTAGTTTAAATGAATAATACTGAGACAAATTGATTAATGTTTGATTTTTTTAAAATATCGACTACAAAATGTCTAAGGTTGGTTGATGACCATTTAAAATATTTGGCTACAAAGTTACCCTCTTAGATGTTAAAATGGCTTAACTATGTTGTTCCTAAAATTGTAATTTGAATAAAATTTACAATCAAACATATTTTCATAATCTTAATAACATGACACAAGAATATTCTCAATAAAATATCACATTAACACAATTACATATATCATTCAATTGTTGGTTAAAAATAAATTGTGTATTTAGTGTATAATTGATGTCTTTTTAAATGAGTTTATTCTTTTTTTATATATATATATAAATTGTGTCATACTAGCTTATTTTATATAACATACCTGCAATTAAGATGAGGATTAATCTATATGTATAATCTATAATCTTTATTAAAGGGAGTTCCTAAGAAATTCTTTGTACCACGCGGCATGTTTCTAGTGGCATCTTTCTCCTGCACAGCTAAAAATTTGCCACATCATTCACAATGAAGATTTTTAATTACTAAAATATATATATATATATATATATATATATATATATATATATATATATTTTATTTATAGTGTTTGAACTTATAATAAAAAAACTAGTATTCGGGCCCGAACAGTTCCCCGAGTCATTACATGTAATTGACATTAAAATACTACATTTTAATTTATGACTCAATTTTTTATAATTATATTTGTTATTCATATTTTCATTAATTACATATTAATATTTTGCATCCAAAAAAATAACATAAAGTATGACATAATTTGGTGGTAAGACACTTAGTTTTACATTTAGAGGTTGCAAGTTCGAATCTCGTTGGTAACGGTTTTTATTATAAATTGTGACATTGGACATGCAATGGAAAATACATGCAGGAGAGCGTCATGTGGCACATATACTTTGTTTGAAACACCTTTTAATATATAGTATATATTGAAATTAAATATAGAAGTCTCATGAAAAGTGTGATCTAAAAGTCCATCATAATAATAAATAATTGAAGTATTAAAGTTTCTAGACACATTAATAATTACGCAAAAATCTAAACAATAAACAAAAAAAAAAAAAGTTTAGAAGGGAAAATTCCCTCCCAAAAAAAACTCTAATATAGTTTAGGTATATAGATAGATGAGCTTAACATTTGAGCGGAAATTTTTTTCATGAGGTAGCGCCACGTGTACAGCTTTGGAAAAAGATGACATCAACGGTTGCTACTTTAGTATTAGTTATAGATGATTAAGTTAAAGGGTCAATCATCTTATCCATATTTTATTTATGTTTTTATATTTAACTCAAATAAATGTATCATATCCACATTTTATTTATGTCTTCATATTTAACTCAAATAAATATACATCTAACTTTGACTGGGGGTGTTTACTTTGTTTTCTTTTCTATTAGCTCCTCTATTGTTACAAATATACTCATTATTTACTTTATATTTTGCCGATAGTTAGACATGAAAACTAATTCCCCGTAAAACTAAGAGTCTCTATCATATAATACTACTCGTACATAGTTTTTAGTAATAGATATAATAATGGAAATAAGTAAGGAATTATTGTAGAATAGAGTGGTCGAGCTAGTTGTGGCTCTAAAGTTAGGGACTTAGGGTGATTTTGTTGATAAGTGGTGGTGGTGGTGGGGTGGTGTTTTTGAGTGATCAAATTGGTAGTTAAGTTGGTTGGATAAAGATGAGTTAGGGGTTTAGGATGATTCTTTGGGGGTGTGGGAATCATGGTAGAAGAAATAGGTAAAGTAGAAGGTACGGGTAAAGGGAATGATTTTGGTTTAACAAACAATAAGAAAGGGAATTATGGATTCATGGTAGTTGATTGCCTTTCCTATTGTTAAATACTCCTAAACCAATTCACGCCCTCTTTTTTCTAGCTTAAGGGTTTTACTTTCCTTTTTCTTCTGATCCTATTCATGACTGCATGCAGCATACCTTTTTCCTTTATATGGAGGAATTGGTAGGGCGCGTTTGGTAAAATAAGGGCAAAGGGTATACAATATAGATAAGGATAGGAAGAGAAAGGAAAGCAAAACGTTTAAGGCCCAACCAACAGAATTGCGTCCATCCTCTCACATGTGCAATCACTAGATATATTATGAATCGAATAATGAAGATAATTAGTTCATTCATTTGGGTCGTCATTCTATCATAGCTAGAGATATTAATGATCTTAAAGCTTGTAAAACAAACCAAAACCCAATGGAACATATGTTACAAGGTCACACTTTGTGATAAGGGTTGAACATAAGAGGAAAAACCCATGGTGGACTTTCCCTTGGTGTAGCCGACCTTATGGGAGTAAGGAGTGTTTTTGAGTTATGGGCTTTAACCTAATAATATTATGAATATATATTAGGAAGTTCCTAGGGTTTTGTGTACATGTAATCAATTATTGTACAAACCCTAATTAGCAAACACTTTGCCCTAGTCTTCTCCCTCTCCCTCTCTCCTTGGTAATCGGTTGTTTGAACAAGGTGGTGGCTTCGATGGTTTGTTTCTCACCTGACCAATCTATTATTGGTAGACGTTCATCTCAAGCCCGTGTGCTAAGTAGAGGAGTCACGCTTGAGGCTCTTATCCTCCCCAGGTTCAAAGCCAATTGTAATATGGAATTCACGCATCAAAGGTATGTGTTATGTTTTATGTGATTTATTATGTGTTATGCATGCTTATCTTGGTTAGGTGCTACAAATAAGAATCATGAAATGCGCTTAGAGTACCTAAATCCCTACACAAATACCCCTATATCCATTACTCCCGCTCTTTAAGCACATAACCTACTAAGGGCCAGCTCAACGAACGTGATTTCACCCCCATAAGATGTTTCTTCGTACCTATCAAAATAGTAAGATAAAATCATACTCTATACTGAATGTTGTTCTACTTTATCTAGTCCAAGTGATGTGCAAAATTATAATCTTATCGATCTCCAAGATTAGTCTTTAGTTGGGCAGCCATGCTAAAAACCCAAAAATAAATGGGTCTACATTGAAACGAACCTAAACCTGTAAAACAAAACTAGTACAAGCCATTTAGATATAATTAGTACGAATATAAGATTAGCATGTTTCAAAAGATGCAAATAGTTGAATTAGAGTTTACAACAAAATATACCAAATTGTTGATCCATGAGACCATGACACATACAACATTACTAGCTTAGGAAACTATAATTCCTCCCCTCCTATTTTTTTCCTTTTCAATCTCTTTATTTATAGCTACATTTTGTCAACCAAAAAAAAAAAAAAATGCATGAAGGTAAGCTTACCCAGCAAAAAAAAAAAAAAAAAAAAAAAGAAAAGAAAATGACACTGTTTGGTGCAAATGCAAAGAGAAGACAAACACCGTCTATGTTTCCGGCTAGTCGGAGTAAATTCCACAATTCGACGTAAACTTCAATAGAAGTCGTCGAGGGTTAAATTGTCAACAGATCCAAAGTGGTCAAAGCCCTGGCCTCCCATCCTTGAGTAATAGTTAGTTGTCGACCCACCAAGAAAATCGAAAGGGGAGTCATTTGCAATGCTAGTTGTGTCATAAACAAATGACATGCAGGCATTATTGTTATCCTCCATGTTTACTGCTGGGTCGTTATTCCAGCTCAATTGATTGTACCTGTTAATCTCGAAATTATTCACTTGAAAGTAATCAGTTACTGTATTGGTTGTATACTCGTTATATATCTCCTGCGGTGTAGTATTCTTGGCCTGAATCACCTACACAAATTTGAAATTTCAAAGAGTTAAGTTGCAGTTACTAACTAACAATGAGATTATATATATATATACACACAAATGCGAAGAAATAAGAGGAGTTTATGAACAAGTACTTACATAGTTAAGGTTAATAATGTCTTGGTAGACCATGATGAGGTCCCCAACCTGCAAGCGATGTGCAGTCACAAAGTCCCCTAGTACAAAACAAGACAGAATCAGTAAAAAGTGGGTTAATTGAGGATGAACCAAGGATATAAACAATCCTCTTACCAGTGTTTTCTAGGACATACATCCGGCTGTTGTTGTTAGGCCAGAACCTAAGTACAAAAGTTCACAAGGAAAAATTAAATATACATATGTGTAAACAAATCATGATGTGATTACTACTTCAAACCATGATAGTATAACGTCGTTCAGATCTTCAGTCTCAATGCAGAGCCAGTAGGTCTTATGTTTTACTTTTTATAGTATTCCAGGTAATTTGGTTATGTAGTAGAGTGAAACTCTTACTATTTATTTATGTTGCATAAAGTTCTAATATCCATAATTCATTAAAGAAGATTTTTATCATTGAAGCATTGTAGACAGAACAGCTCGGAAATTGATATTATAAGCTAGCGAGTTTTTGGTAAGAAAAAATTTGCTCCCATGGGCCAATTACCATAATAGAAATGTTATCAAGATGTATACGTACCTGTACTTGAAGTTCCACACATGCATCCCATCCATATCATCCATGCTGATGTAAATTCCCTCCTTAGTTTCTAGATGTGGGAGGTGAGACTCAGCAGCTTTCTGAAATTATTTAAAACAAATCAGTGAGATTGCTTTCATATTTCATGATCATCACTACATAGTGTCAATGTAAAATGTATATATAGTATTAGTATCATGATCACTACCTAGCTAGGGTGAATCAAATAAAACAAAACACATTAATTATTGTTTTTTACTAACTCAATGGATGGAATAAGGACTAAAGAATGGGCATGCTTTGAGCTAATTAAGCATTTACAAAATTTCTAGTGCATATTATATAAAGTTGATGCCACAAACCTTTGGTAACACCATCCTCCTCAAAGTGCTTACATCACTATTCTGAAGCTGCTTCTGGAATAAAAACCTCAACCTCCTTGGATCAACAACCTGAAATGAAACTTTTGAAGGGAGTGAATATTTGCACATAGCAAGCATTTGATAGCACATGCATCACTTACTTAAAAAGTATGGAGTATCATCATATTCATCAAGTTGAGATAGAGGATTAAGGTTGAAGAGGGTTCAACTCCCACTACATTATATACCTCTAATGAGGACTCAAGGAGTATTTCCATGTTTAAGACTTGATTATCAATTACTTCTTAATTAATTGTGCACCTTAACTATTCATCCAACAATCACCTTGATCTTGATGTGATAAATGATTCATAGAGTTAACTACCACCACTAATATCATTTGGTTTTGAATGCACTTCCATTCAAGAACATCATTTTGTTTTATACAAAATTTCATTTCCTACTATGATATATAGAGGGATCATTGGTCATTAGAAAGCGATATGCCACTACTACAAAACGGCATGCAAAAACCAGTCTATAACCCTAATGATTTCTTAGAGTAATTAAGTAACTGCTAAAGGATTTGTTTTATAATAAAATAAAGGCTAGTTAGTTAAAATGAAAATCCAAATGCACGAGGAAGGAGCCTGTTTGTATGGAGTGATTAGGAAGGAGCCTGTCTGTATGGAGTGAAAACCCAACCGGAATAGTATGTTTTGTCGTTATTGAATTTGTGTTTTTTGTCGTTCTCTGTCCCTGTATTTTTTCTATTCGTATTAAATGTGCTTGTTTGCCTGTCGGTACAATCTTGCCCTAATTCTGGGAGCTCAGATGACACACTCTAAAATTGATTATCTAATTGATTTGTTTATTGATTAGCTATTAGGACATATAATGCCAACCACACGTGTTATTACTATTACGTAATTTGATTGCTTATGTTTGGTATCATACCTTGTCATACTAACATGAATATTATGTTTGTCGTTATTGTATTTGTGTTTTTTGTCGTTCTCTGTCTCTGCATATTTTCTTTTCGTATTCAATGTGTCTGTTAGCTTGTCGGTATAATCTTGCCCTAGTTCTAGGAGCTCCAAATGGCATACTCTAGAACGAACTAACTATCTAATTGATTTGCTTATTGATTAGTTATTATGATTAGGACATATAATGCCAACCACGCGTGTTATTACTATTACGTAATTTGATTGCCTATTTTCGCCATATTTCTCCTTCCCCAATCCACACGTGCGTGCTTATTGTATGTCTTTTATTGTGACGAGACACTTAAAAGCTAGTTATGGAACTCAAACATGTCATGTTGTTATATCAACCATCAAGCTAACCATCTAATGAGAGTACATTTGAAGATATAAGATTCACTTGTGGTCCCAATCCTCTAATTCAAGTATATTTTTGTATTATCCATATTTGGTTACCTTTAATTAGATATCGACAACAAAATTGTGACGTAACACAGCCAAAATGAGGCAAGACGAGGACGTACGTACACTACAAAAAATAGTTAATTTTATCCTTATTCAAATTAATTAAAACTCTATATAAGATGATTTCAAGTATTCGACAATAATTTTTAAAGGTAACTTTTAGGTTATCCTAACTTCATACTAGTAAAGCTAGATATACGGAAACACGTACACATCAACTACTATACATATAACAACAGTATAAAAAACATACACCTTACTTAACCATCAAGTCATATAAATTCATATATATTCACTTATATTTAAAAAGATTCTGTTTAAATTAATTAATAAAAAATTAAATAATTAAAAAGTGTAGATGATATGTTTTGTAAAATGAAGTAAGGGAATAAGGGCAGAAGACAGTTGGAGAAGAGTTGAATGCTTCGTAAGAGCAATGCCAATTAAGCACTACCAAACAGGTTTCACCGTTTGGGGCCACCTACACTTGGACTCGTGCAACTTTTACATGGGGGATAGATGGACGAACCATTTTCCTTTTTTCTTTCTTTTTTATATGTAGCCACCTAGCTTTCATTTTACGTCATTTTGGTCAAACCCTTCGTATAATTTAAAGTTATATGATCAAAATATACTAAACAATGTACTGTTATTTTTTTATTTTATAATTTTTTTTAATGAGTTTCATGAATTTCTTTGCACTTTTACTTTATTTTGTCAAAAAATTATTGATTTTAGCACTGTTTACCTATGTTATTTGACTATCTTCAATGATTTATAGTCATTTGGGATCTCTCTAAATTTGTTTTAATTTTTACTTTAATGCAGTCAAACTTTGATAAGTTTACCTATTGGCAAAATGATATTAATACATTATCAAGCGTGAAATGAAAACTGCTGTAACATAAAAATACCAAGGAAGTATCATTTTGACCCAATTTGATCCACTTTTCTTATAGTTAATTCTCTATATATCTTATCAAAATTAATTATATGTAACTACTTACAACATTATTTATTGTCTTTACTTTGAAATAATTGACACGTTCTTTTAGACATATAATTTAATTATTTGTTGTAATGAAATGAGTTGTTTGATGAAAGACAAAGTTAGTGAGATACTCAAACATGTGAGATACTCCCTCCGTCCCCAAATATTTTTTCCAATTTAACTTTTTATGGTCTTTAAGACGTGTTTTTATTAGGTCTATATCTCCATTTTCATACGAGTAAAATTTATAAAAACTTAATACTCTATCCGTCCCTTATTTATATGCCTTCTTCCCATTTTACACGGGAATTAACTAACTTAGAAATTCCTTAAAAGCCATGATTGGGAAGCACAAATACGAATGTGGGGTTAGAGAGAGATAGAGAAAAAGAAAATGTAATTGGTAATTATTGAAGAGATGAAGAGAGAAAGTGTTGAAAAATGATGTCAAAAGTACAAAAAAAAATAAAAATGATGACAACTTATCAAAAAGAGGGAATATTGTCAAAAAGTACATTTTTTAAATTGAAATAGACATGTAATTACAAAACCCCCCAAAAGGAAAGTAGGCATATAAATAAGAGACGGAGGAACTATTAATAAAGTGTATAACGTGACGAATCCAACAATATCTCACATGAATATATAATCTTTTATAGATTATTGGGAATTCATGGCCAAAGTTTTTAAAGTTTGACTCAAACATTAGAAATGGGAAAACATTTGGAGACGGAGGAAGTACAAAAGTAAGTGATGGACCAAGTTAGGATAGAAAAAATAATAGTGATAAGTCATATATATATATATATATTCAAATGAGAAAGTGTGTCAATTATTCTAAAATAACTAAAAGAGGGAAGTGTGTCAATTATTCTTTTAAAGTTTGTGAAACATCGTTAAATAATCAATTTCATTAAGTGGGTGTTTGGTATAAACACTGTAAATATAATGGAAATGATTTAAATATAGGGGAAAGAGTAATGATCAACGTTACCTTTAACTATATGTTTGGTCTCTTAATGAAATGGAAATAATTAGAATAGATTGTGATTGAAAAAGGAAACATATTTTGTTTTCATTAATTTGTCAATGGTAACAAATGGGGGATTTTGTTACACTGAGAAAATGATATTTTGTTACTTATAACTCATATTAAACAATTAGAAATAAAAACATTTATTTGAATCCGTTTCCTACATCTAAAATTACTATCAAGTTTTTATAAAAACCAATTTTTAAGTCGTGCAAGTGTGCAAGCCACGAGTTTTTAATAATGTAAAATTATGACCTTGTTTGTTTATGTAACAGAAACATGAAGGATTAAAAAAAAATAAAGAAAGAAAAAGAAGTTTTACATACGGAAATCTATGGTTTTTGAGTTTGATAAAATCATTTTGGAGTGAAATTCGATCCAAAGGAATTAATGAAAGTAATTGTTCGATTCAAAAGTTTTTTTCAAAAAAAAAAAAAAAAAAAAAAAAAACATTGAAAAGAACGATTTTTGAGAAGAAGAGGAAGAGATTGGAAAAGAGGAAAATGAGTGGTTTGTTTTTATTTTAAAAAAAAAAGATTAGATAGGCTAATCTGACTATTAATATTTTTTTTTTAAGACAAGGATTTGAAGGAAAATAATACAAAATCAGATTAGATAGACTGATCTGAAAAAATCTTTTGGTTAATGTAACAATGTAATATCATGAGATCTTTGTCAAAATAAGATGATTCTCTACATTACCTTGAAAAAATAAATAAAAAAGAGATGATTTCATTTTACTAAATCAAGTCAGCAAAACTATTTTCTACCAATTAAATCAAAGAAAAAAATTAACTCCGTATAAACTTGTAGAATAATTTGGTGGATCAACAAATTACTCAGATCTCATTGACTGATTTGGCAAAATTAATTAATTGGTGATTATTTATTTTATTTTATTATTTTTTTTGTTTTTGAGGAAATTATTAACTTTAAGACACTTAATCATAATTTGGTATTTATTGTATTTTATTTAATTAAATTTTATGTTCCCCAACATACAAAAGTATGAAATTGAAGAGTCAAATCTAAAAGTACTAAAAATGGAAAGGAAAATAAGATAAATTTTTTTTTTTTTTGAAGGGAAAATAAGATAAATTTAATTCTATCTATTTTAAAAAAAAAAGAAAAAAAATTCAACGGCTAGTGTACGGTGGTGCAGGGATCCGTAGCCAATCCCAAAAGAAGGCCAGGTAGCGAAAAACACACACCTTAACTCGGTCCAACCATCTGGGTCAACTCACTCATATATATTCTTATAAAATAAATTAAAATTAAAAAAAAAAAAAATAGGAAGATAGAAGAGTAATCTTACACGTGCGGGAAGTGAGAGAGAAGTTGGCACGTGAGGGGTGGTAGAGGTAGAAGAAGAAGAAGCAAAAGGCAAGAGACTAACTGAGGATCTTCTTTGCCTAGCCATTCTTTTCTTCCTCTGAATTTTATTCTCCCCAAAACAGCCCCCTAAAACCGGCTTCGTCGACCGATTCGCCTCGTTCGAGTTGTTGAAAACAACGATCCCAGCATGTCCTCCAACTCCATTAGTCGTGCTTTCAGTTCCAGTCCCAGTCCCAGTCCCAAACCCGAGCGCCTCGTTATTCTGGCAACTCCTGTTTCTCCTACCACTCTCTCTCCCCCCTATCATCATCATCATTTTCGATCAACAAAAGATAAATGTTTTTAATTTATTTTATTTTAGGGCTTTGAGTGATTCTAGAGAGAATAAGAGAGAGAAAGAAGGTGCACTCTCTTTGCCTATCTCACACTGACTCCACTGAAAAATGTGGAGCTCATCTCCTTTTTATTTATTCATTTTATTGTCACAAATATGATTTACTGCTATAAATAGCAATGTTCCAAAACTCAAAAATAATCCCAACAATAATAATTAAAACAAAAAACCCAAAAACAAAATTGAAAAAAAAGGGAGTTTCTGAGTATAGGTTAAGGGTGACATTTGTAAAAAGGCAGTTGATCATAAGAGGGTAGTGATATTTCCAAGTAAAAATAGTTACTACTTTTGTTAAATGACTGAGATGAGTATAGTGAATAAGCAACTAAAGTAAGGTTAAAAAATTAACCATGGTTAAAAAAGGGAAAGGGGCGGTGGGTGGGAGAGTAGAGAGATGACCAAAGAAAAAGAGACGAATGGTGAAACAAGGGAGAAGCTAACAGGTGTTACAATTCTTCTGTTTTAACTCAAACCCCACCAACTGAATTCAATGGCGCTTATTATTTTTTATTTATTTTTATCATTAATTTCCTATTTTTTGTTTTTATTTTTGTTATTGATTTTGATTTAATTAAATGTGATAGAAAAAAAAAAATGATGAAGAATCCAGAAATAGCGGGTGAAGGAGGGGGGAGGTATTACTTGATGGAAGAGAGAAAGCGGGAGGAGGTAGAAGAGAAGGGTTTTGAATTTTTTGGATAGAATGAGAAGAAGCTAAGAAAGGTGACAAGGAAAATTTGTAACTGAATTCTACGTTTTGTCGCGCGTTACTAAGGTCACCCACGTCATTTTGCTAACGGTGCTATTATATAACTTGAGAGTATTCGCTATGTAGTATCTAGACATGTCAATTCGGGTGTATGGGTTAGGTCCGATGAGATTGGATTAAGTTTTTTAAACTTAAATCATGCTAAATTATTGTGTTCATATAAGTTAAAATCTGAATATGTTTTTTTCGAGTTGATCGGTCAAATCAGTATTTGACACAATTGTACTGTATCATTGTATGTATGTGTGTATGTATGTACTTAATGTGCTATTCTTCTTGTGGACTTAATTAGGACTCCATTGCTATTCCGAGATTTCTTTTATGATTTACGACTACTCATTATAATTATTATTACTTGTTGAGTTTGTATTACAATATTTTGGATTTTGTGTAACAAACTTGGATTTAATGGTTTCTTCATTAATATAAAGATTAGTGGGAAGAAAATTGAAGGAAGTTACTTCAATTCCAATGTGAACGCACTTATATTGAGATCCAAGGGGATTTTATTTTTCTTTTGGATTATAAGGAGAAAGACTATTAAATTGTACTCTCTTCGTCCCTTATTTACGTGCCTACTTACTTTTTTGGAGGTTTCAAAATTACATGTCTAGTTTTATTAAAAGAATGTATTTTTTGACAATAGTATCTCTTTTTGAGGAGTAGTCATCATTTTTTTTTTTTTTTTTTTTTTTTTTTTTTTTTTTTTTTTTTTTTTTACTTTTGACATCATTTTCCAACACTTTTTCTCTCCATCTATCTCTTTAATAATTACTAACTACATTTTCTTTATCTCTATCTATCTCTAACCCCACATGCATATTTGTACTTCTCAATCATGACTTTTAAGGAATCTCTAAGTTCTTTAATTCCCGTGTAAAATGGTAAATAGGCATATATATAAGGGACAGAGGGAGTATCCTTAAAATTTCCTTAAAAAAAATTAAAAAAAAAATATTGTATCCTAAAAGTTTAGTTAGTCCAGTTTTTATGGGTTAATGTTGGAAGGTATTAAGAGAGAAGCAAAGTAATATTTATTCATCTCAAGAACGAATAAATGGTTAAGGAATCCACGCTCTAGCATAACTTATTGAGTTGTGCTTTGTTATTAAATTTTTTGGATTACATGTAACAACTTACATTTAATAACATACAAGTCTAATTTAAACGTTAATAATATTAAATACTTTTAAGTTAAGTATTAGCAAATTAAAGGGCATGGTATCCATTGAGAACATGCATCTAATGAGAGTGGAAATTTGATTTTTAAAAAAGGATCAATATCACCTAGCTAGGTATGTAGCCCAATGATGCTACCTATACTCCCTTCGTTTTTTTTTTTTTTTTTTATAGTAACATTTTCAACGTTCTTTTTCTTTGGTTACGTTTTTACGTACTTCTAATTATAGTTTTACACACTTATCCTCATATTATGTATTTCCAATGCAACTATTTCAATTTACTAAAATATTACCATAATCCCAAAGCAACTATACCAATTTACCAAAATTTTTACCTAATCCCAAGTATATATTCCCACTCCCTCCATTCTTGAAAGATTGTTACGTTTTCCCTTTTTGGCATTCCTCTTTATTGGTTACATTCCAATTTCTTTTACACACTTTCCTCATACATACTTATTTTCCATGCAACTATCCCCATTTATCAAAATATTTACATAACCCTAATGCAATTATTTCTATTTATAAAAATATTCACCTACTCCCAATGCAAATATTCTTATTTTTAAAGTTAATTTATTGACTTAATACTTAATATATGTAACATATAATCAATTTTTTTTTTCAATATCTTATTTTGCTTATTAACCATGTAAAACCACAAATGTAATTTTCTTTTGGGAACGGAGGCAGTACCTAATCCCAAGACATTTTTTAGGACCCATAATTAAACCCAAATATAACTTTAGATAAGAAATGGTGAGAGGACATAACAATATGCCGTTTTAGTCAGTAAATTCTATAACAAAGCAAGTAAATTAAATATAGAGTGTGTTTATTTTCATTCTTTTCTTTTCTTTTTTTTTTACATGTATGATGAGTTTTACAACAACCTAGTTAAGCAATTTTTGGATTCTAGATGAAATTTGAATTAGCAAAATTCATTTTAGTATTCCCTCCAACTCATATAGAAAACTCATTTAAGTTTATACACATTTTGGAGATATACTAATAATAAATGAAATTAAAATATTAGATCGGAATCTAAATAATTAAATATAAATAAAAAGTATCAAACGTAAACAAAAAGAATTACACTCAAAAACCAAATCTAACAATACGAATACTTAAAATGGATTTCAATGTCAAGATCATCACTATTTTTCTCTTACAGAAAATCATTTCCAATTAAGCTATATACCAATACTAATAAAAGGCATGAAGAAATTGGTCGTTAACCCTAGTGATTTATTTAAGTAAGAAATTGCATTGGTATTTTTTTTTTTTTTTTCCTCAATGTCAAAATCATCACTTTTCTATTCCTTTTTTCTTTACCAAAATCAATTTCCTGTTAAGCTATAAAGATGAGATACTAAACACAAGATAACTTAAACGGTCATCAACCCTAGTGATTTTAGTGAGAAACCGTTTTGAAAGGTTTTTCGTAATAAAAAAAGCCTAGTTTGGAAAACCTAAAAAGTTGAGGCATGCATAGAGAATGAATGAGCATGTCTGTTTAGAGTAATTAGTTATTATACCATGCCCTACTAACATGAATTTTACTTATGTGTTTATTATATTGTATTTATTGAGTTTTTTGTTAGTATTGCATCAAGTTTTTGTCGTTCTCTGTCTTTATGTTGTTTCAAATAAACGTATAAGTAACCATGTCGGTATAATCATGCACTAATTTTGTGAGCTCTAGATGGCATGCTCTTAAGTTAACAATCTCTATAAAAAAAAATTGAAATTTTTTTACATGGAAATTGAAATCAACAAAATATTTTTTTATAAAAAAGGATATTTTTGGTAGTAAAAATATGCTCTAATTTGAAAAAAATAGATATCATTGTTGAAATATAAACATTAAATAAATCATGTGAATAAATTTTTGATAAATTATGTTTATCTCTATCATATCATATAATGTAGGGGGGTAGAATGAATAGTTGGCGTTCAATATGAATTCAATAATACCTTCCTTTTTTATTTAAATAAACATGTAAACAACTTATTGAATAAATCGGTTGTACAATAAATATTATACATTAATATTACATTTACCCTAACTTGATAAGAAAATTATCTGATATGAATAAAAGTTAGCTATTTTTATATCGATAATATTACTTACCTATCTCTTTAAAAAAACACATTACTTACATATAATCAAAATTGATTATCCAAATATACAATACTACAGATTGTAGGACTACATGCTTTTAGCTCTTCTCCGTTTTGGATCAGGCTAGTTGATGTCCCGTTTGGAAGAAGAAATTTGAAGTTTGCTTGAGATGTGGGAGATTGCATTGGCACTTTCATGGAGTTGGATGAGTCCGATCCTTAAGGATGGGAAGAGTTTATGTGGGTCAAAGTGATGGTTAACATTGAGAAACCATTGCGCAGGGGAATTAAGATTGTTGTTGATAGAGGTGGTACAAAGTTGATAGAGAATGCTCGGAGAAGGATGAAAGGATTGGTGGCCCTCCCTTGGTGTTCCAATATGGCCCTTTCCTGGCCGCATCTCCTCACCAACGTTCAAAGAAGTCAATTGCTGTGAAGGAGAAAGAAAAGAGTTGGTTTGAGAAGTTAAACCAGTGATGAAGGAGAAGACGTATGGACTATAACATTCCTAGTTATTTGGCTAGGAACACTGGGAGCTGCCCGAAAATTATTATTCTCTCCGCCAAGCGGTGTTGCTAGCAAGACTCCTATAGACCGTGCCATTAAACTAATTGTTGTGACGGAGAATATAGTATGTCTTGACGGAGACCTCGATGCCATTTGGAAATGACTCGAATGATGATCCCTTCCTATAAAGTTCTTAAAGATTTGCACAAATGACTAGTGTTACACTAAACAAAATTGTTGAAGCTAACAAAGGACACCATATTCAGTTATGGATAGAAATAGTTTCTAACGTCTTTTCAAGTATATGTCTAAGGCTCTTAGCCTCAGTGGGAGTTCAGAGGCTCAGTGGGAGCTAAGTGGCTCAATAAGGGCTAAGGTAGCTCGAGTGGGAGCTAACTGTTTGTTTAACAACAAACTATTACCCAAAAACAATATACATGTCTATTTGCAAGCATTCAAGTGAGACTACGAAATCACTTCCACAACCTGACTGAGAACATAGTATTTGTTGCTCTAAGAGGTGTCTTTCTGGAAAATAACACATTCCTAAAACGACAAGTGGGAGGAAAATAAACTCGATAATGACCATCGAGATTAGCAACAAATTAAAGCTGAGAATCTTAGAAGACTTTAGAAGGACTTCATGAGAATTATTGATCAAGAATATTCAAAGGACTGTACAAGTGTCTTAAAAGAGAATTTAGTACTCACAAAACTTTAGAAGTGTTGGAGTAAGATCAATATAATCAAAAGACTTTAAAAGCACCTTGAAACTCAGTGTTTGATGCAATTACCCCGTATAGGTATAAAATTCACCAAAGGCTTGGATTGAATCCTATAAATTTCTATGAAGTTAGAAATAAACCTAAGACTTACAAGCATACTATTTACTATGGTAAGGGAATAGCGTCTTGTTAATTAGCTACGACAAATTTAAATTCCGAATAATTGTTAGAGACCATAAAATCCAAAAAAGACTCCGTATTTGAAAATCATGTTTGAAACTTAATTAATTTGTATGAAGGGTAGGGGTGTACAAAAACTGGACCGGACCTGAATCGACTTGATCCGGACCGGACCTGACCCGGACCTGTTGATTTAGGTCTGGTCCCGGTCCTGTTGATTCAGTTCCGATCCCGGTCCTTGAAAATCAAGGTTTCCGGTCCCGGTCCGAACCCGGTCTAAAACCAGGGGTTTCAGGTCCGGACCTGAAACTCGGTTTTTTTATTTTTATTTTTTATTTTTTTTTATTTTATAATATATATATATATATATATATATATATATATATATATATATATATATATATAATATACCCTAATACTACTACCAGCCTCTCATTTCTCCTCTTCTCTTCTTCCTACTCTCCTGATCTCCTCTCAGTCTCAAGCGACCACACCGGATGCCTCAGCCCTCACCGGTTTTGACACCAGAAACCCCCTCTCATTTTCTCGCCTTCTCTTCTTCTTCCTCTCCTCTCAGTCTTTCTCTTCCGTGTCTCCATGTTCTTTCCAACACCACACCGGATCCCTCACCGGTTTTCGACATCAAAACGCACGACCTTCGTTGCTCCAAATCTCCCGTAGTCCAGTGAGTCTCGACACCGTTGGTCCAGATCTCCGTTGCTCCAGAATCCAGGCTCCATTTACTTTTTTTCGATTTAATTTCAGTTGACAGGAGCAAAGGAGGAAGAATTTCCGGCGACCACTATCCACACCGCAAAAGCCGACCGTCCACCGCCACCAACGTAGCCTCCGTGGTGTTAATTTACCCTTTTTCGAATTAATTTCATTTATTAAATTATAAACCCTAGGTACTTGGTTTATTTTTTATTTATTGTATTTTCGCTGAGTTTAAATTGTAGATCTAATC